TCACCAGGTTGGTTAGGCAGGTCTCGAATTCCTGACCTCAGGTGATCCACCCGCCTCAGCCTCCCAAAGTGCTGGGATTACAGGCGTGAGCCACCATGCCCGGCCAGACAAGTTTTAATTTTTATGAATTCCAATTCATCTTTTTCTTTTGTTCCTTATCCTCTCGGCATCATAATTAAGAAGGCTTTGCCTACCTCACGGTCACAAACATTTAGGTTTTCATCTGAGAGTTTTATAGTTTTAGCTCTTACAATTAGGTCTATGATTTATTTGCTTAGTTATTAACATATTAAGTAACAAGTTCTAGGGGTGGGTGTAATAACTTCTATGATCTTGGAGATGAGGATAAATGCTCTTTTGAGGCCAGGTGTGGTGGCTCATGCCTGTAATCCCAGCACTTTGGGAGGCCAAGGTGGGCTGATCATGAGGTCAGGAGCTCGAGACCAGTCTGGCCAACATGGTGAAACCCTGTCTCTACTAAAAATACAACAATTAGCCGGGCGTGGTGGTGCGTGCCTGTAATCCCAGCTACTCAGAGCTTGAGGGAGAAGAATCATTTGGAACCCGGGAGGTTGCAGTAGGCCGAAATCATGCCACTGCACTCTAGCCTGGGCGACAGAACAAGACTCTGTCTCTGAATAAATAAATAAATGCTATTTTGAGATATTTTCAGTGACTTTAATGTGTTGAGACGGAATATCACCTACATTCATAACTGAAGAAAATGCCAGATTTCAGTTAAAGGTTAATTTTTTTTTTTTGAGACAGGGGTCTTGCTAGAGGCCTCAAAGTACCTGGGATGGTAAGTGAGTGCCACTGCACCTGGTGTTAAAGGTTAATTTTAAATAAAGATGTAATTACCAGCTCTGGTTCATGGTCCCCAGAATGCTATCCATGGGTTCCAGGTTCAGAACTCTTAGGATGGCTAAATTCCTGCCTGAAGTCTCAGTTTTCCAATAATCCTTTGGGGGCTTGAAACCTCCCAGGAATGGCTTTAGGGTGTTTTCCTGACACTTCCCAGCCCTGGCCCATACCCTGCCCTCTGCCTGGCTCCATCCTTGAGGAAGGAATTCCTTGCCAAGCAGAATTTTCTAACAAGCCCAAATACAGTAATAATAATAATTAGCAGCAGGAAGAACTATAAACACTGGGGTAGGAAAGCCTGAACCTGTCTCTTCTTTTCCTCATCCCTTCCCTTCATTCCTGAACTGAAGGAGACTGAGCCCCTTTGGGCTTTGATGACTCCATCACTGGGGTATGTTCATTTGATGGTTGATTTTGCTGTACCAGGTACTTCCTTTCCCATTTTCTAATCATTTTATAACACATGCTGACTCTTTTCCCTTCCCTTCTCCTTTTCCTGGGAAAATACAATGAACAAATAAACTTATTGATAGTGAGAATTAAAACAAAATTATAAATACTGTATGTTTAGTATCAGACCAAGCATCTTGCGGACACCCTTGCCCCTGGCCATCCCAGCATCCCTTGGGCAACTCTGGCCTTGGGTAAGAGGCTCCACAGCTCCTGGCTTAGCTGTGCCCTGGCTCCTCCCCTCACATCATGCCTGACCCTAGGAAGGTTGTAGGTTATTTCACCTCTGGGTGCCTTAGCTTTCTCATCTATAAGGGTGGGGGATGAGATGGTCAGTTTTTTTGTTTTAGCGTGGAGGACGAGATGGTCATAGGGTCATAGTTTTTTTTTTTTTTTATCGTCGATGTAATTAATTCATCATTTACATTAGGTATATCTCCTAATGCTATCCCTCCCCCCTTGTTTTTGTTTTATACAGATGAGATCTCACTATGTCGCCGGGCGCCATGGCTCAAGCCTGTAATCCCAGCACTTTGGGAGGCTGAGGCGGGCGGATCACGAGGCCAGGAGTTTGAGACCAGCCTGGCCGATATGGTGAAACCCCATCTCTACTAAAAATATGAAAATCAGCTGGGTGTAGTGGTGGGTGCCTGTAGTCCTAGGCTGAGGCACAGGAATCGCTTGAACCCAGGAGGCAGAGGCTACAGTGAGCCGAGATCATGCCACTGGACTCCAGCATGGGCGACAGAGCGAGACTCCGTCTAAAAAAAAAAAAAAAAAAAATTAATGAAAGGAAAAAGGAAAAAGGCAAGGAGGAATCCCAGTGATGACAGGTTGGAAGCTGCAGAGGAGACTGATGGGGAGTGACCTGTGAGGTAGGAGGGCCAGGTGAACTGGAATCTCCAGGTCCAGATAAATGAGGGTTTCCAGGAGGAGAAGTGGTCGACTCAGCTGTTGCTGAGAAGCTCAATGAGACCAAGAAGTGACCCCCGGATGGGGCAGCGGAGAGGTGGTAGGTTACCTTAGCAGCAGTTAAGGGGTGGGGACACAGCTCTGTTGGGTGGGGTGATGAGAGGCTGGGATGGGAGGGGGTTGAGGAAGCCAGTGTAGGGAAGTCTTCGGAAATGTCTGAGGGGAGGGAGAAATGGCAAGACCGGAGAGGGGTGGGGGGCAGGAGTCGGTCCAGAGTGAGGCTGATGGCACAGAAAAGCCTCAAGGGGAGGGCAGCGGGAGAGGGTCCCCGGCCCGAGTAGGACGTGGGTACGCAACAGGGAGGTTTGTCTGTTTGGGGACAGGGAGAGGAGAAAGACCCTGAAGGCTTTCGTTTTTCTCTGAAGAATGAGGTAAGGCCACGGGCTGGGAGCCCAGGCAGAAGGGGCTGTGGGAGGTGTAAGGAGAGGGGAACAGGCATGAGGTCTCAGTTTCAGAGTGGGAGTCTCACCGAAAAACATGGTAGGGCTGCCGGCTTTGTGGATGCGTTACAAGTGTGGCATCACAAATTCCCAATCCCAGGGCTGTGGTGGCGCCCTCTCCCCAAGCGATGGGAAGGCGGGTGTCCTTAAGGTTGGGGTTCCCTACGCCGGAAGGATGGACTCTATTACAATCCATCAGGCCAGGAGGTAGCTACTGTTTTCTGTATTTTACCGTTGGGAAATCTGAGAGCTTCAGGCCAATATAGTATCCGTGTAGCATTAGGGTCAAACTAGAACAGGGGCTGACACATGTTAAGTGTTAATATTGGCTGGGGAAAAAAAAAATGCTTTTAAAGTCCACTGCTGCACCCCTACTGGTAGCCCAGCCTGGCCTCAGCCTTGGGGGCTGGTGGGTGGAGAGGGTGGCCCTGTGTGCTCTGCTATCCCTGTTGCCTTAATAAATGACCCAGTATCAGCTTTGTGCCCTTGTAGGTTGATCTTCCAGTCTGGTGGTACAACTTTGTAGACACCAAGCGAGCGGAGCAGCGTGTTCTGGACCTCATTCCTCACACAGGGCTCACCTCCGGATGAGTCAGAGGCCTTAGCCAGTGGCCCAGCCCCGGGAATGCCACCCCGGTTCTGTACCCTGCCCGGGCCAGCTGAAGGGTGTATCGGGGCACACACCTGCAGCATCCAGGGCTCTCCAAGGAGAGAAACATCCTTTGGAGGAGAGTCCCAGAGTTACGACCCTGAACTTGGTGGGGGCAGGGCTTCTATACCAGGAGGGGTCCCAGCCCTGTTTCTTAAAGGTCATTTAGGCAGAAGTGAACGTGGTCTCTTCAATAAAGTTAATAGTTCATGCTGCAAAAAATGTTCAAGAGAAAACCCCGCTTATTTATTCAGGCTTTAAAACCATAGAACTCCCAAATTCTCCCTGTAGCTATTTATATCCAAAGCTCGTCCCCATATTAATCTCAGGTTTGAAGCAACTTAAAAGAAAAATAGCCATCCCTGCTTTAAAAAGATTTCCCGCATAGACCTCCACTGGTCTAATTACGAAGGGAGCGTAGTTTCGGGGTTGGTTGGGGGTAGGGCACCGGGACCTCCAAGGCAGTTACACCCCTCAGCCCCCCACAGCTGTACGGCTGCCCGGTGGTCCCTCTCCAGGGCAGCGGCTCTCAGGCTGGCCTCAGCCGACCCCACCCGCCCGCGCACCGGGTTCTCCCTCGCGGGGGTTCCGGGGGGAGAGAGGAGGCGGGGCAGGCGGCAGATCCGGAAAAGTGGCTGCCCTCGCCCCGGAGGAAGTTGACCCTCCTCCCGCGCCGAGAGGTTGGGATGAAAATAGCTTCTTCCTCTTTACCCTTCCTGGACCCCCGCCCCAGAACGGCTGCGCCTGTTCATTCATCTTTCAGCAGCCACCCCAGCGGCTAGTGCGTCCCCACGCCGGGACTCTGTGCCCCGGGGGCCCACGGGGACCCTCCCTTGGGCCTCCGCCGCGGCGGCGAGCCCCGCACCCAAGCCACCCCGGGGGTCCCCGCCTCCCCCACCCAATTAGCGGGTAGCACGGCAAACCCGAGTCCCCACGCGGCTCGCGCCAGGGGAGGTGGCAGCCTGGGAAGCCCGTACCCAGCGCCGTGGCCCCCGCCCCCGCGAGCCCCGCGTCCCCTGGGAAAGGCGGGGGCGCAACGAGTTTCCCCCAATTAGTTTCCTCTTTGTATGGAGTCTAAGCGCGCCCGTACCCCTCCGCGCAGCGGAAAGTAGTCCCGGCCGGGCGCTCCGCGGCTTTCCAGCGCCAGGCACATTTTACTTTAAGAAGCCGACGGGACTCTCAGCAGGGTCCCGCGGAGGGGGGCCAGAGGCCGCGGGAGGCGTGTGCGGGCAGTAGCGGCGGGGGCTGTGGCCGAGGGGAGGGGGCGGGGAGGGCCGCGAACTCCTCGCCGCTGCCTAGAGAGAAGGATCATGGGGCGTAGGGAGATGGCAAACCTCAAACCACGTACGGCGGGCGATACGCGTCAACCGAACCTCGCCAACGGAAGCCCGGAGCCGCCCCTCCCCGCTCCCCCGCCCCGCCGCCCCGGACGGACGGGCCCGCGGAGCCAACCCGGCTGCCGCTCGCCGTCCAAATCCCACCAGAGCCAATGGGAGTGCGAGGGGGGCGGAGCCATCTCGCGTCAGTTGGGCTGCGCGCCCCCCCAGGCGCCCCTGCAGGCCCCGCCCCTGCCTCCTCCCCTCTCCGCTCGCTGCTCCCGGAGTAGTTGGTGCCAGTGAAGTGAGGGCGGCGATGAGAGCGAAAGTTGCGCTCGGCTCGTCGCTGAGGGCTTGAAGCGGTTCCGCGCTCTACCCGTCTGGGCCTCCCCCGACTCGGACTCGCGCCCGTGGGCTCCCGTAGCGCCCGCCCGGCTCCGCGCCGGCCCCGCGCCCCCTCCCCCGGCTCGGCGCCCCCTCCTCAGGAGCCGCGGGTCCCCGCCACTTTCGCACGGCCCCGGCCCCCGCCGATGCCGGCCATGGTGGAGAAGGGCCCCGAGGTCTCAGGGAAGCGGAGAGGGAGGAACAACGCGGCCGCCTCCGCCGCCGCCGCCGCCGCCGCCGCCGCCGCCGCCTCGGCCGCCTGCGCCTCGCCAGCCGCCACTGCCGCCTCGGGCGCCGCCGCCTCCTCCGCCTCGGCTGCCGCCGCCTCGGCCGCCGCCACCCCCAATAATGGCCAGAATAAAAGTTTGGCGGCGGCGGCCCCCAATGGCAACAGCAGCAGCAACTCCTGGGAGGAAGGCAGCTCGGGCTCGTCCAGCGACGAGGAGCACGGTAGGTGGCAACCGCCCCCGCGGCCCCGGGCCCCGGGCCCCGCGCCGCGCTGACCGCCGTGTTCTGCTTCCCCCGCAGGTGGCGGTGGCATGAGGGTCGGACCCCAGTACCAGGCGGTGGTGCCCGATTTCGACCCCGGTGAGTAGCGGCCCCGGGCGGCCGGCGGCGGGGATGAGCGGGAGCCCCGGGTCCCCGGCGAGCCCGAGGGGGCGGGAGCCGGCCGACAACTTTCTTTTTGTGTGTGCGTTCGCCCTGCCGTCCGTGGGGAGAACAGCAGGGCGAGGACGAGGAGGCGCACACGCACACGAGTGTTCTGCAAACGTGCGTCTGCACCCGGTGGAGGCCAGGTCGCCCCAGCAGGTCCGGCGCCGCTGCCCCTTGCGCCTCCGAGGACTGCAGGTGGCGTCGGAGGCGGCCACACCTGGCGTGGGGGCGCTGGGGGTCCCTGCGTCCAGGTGAGCTGCGCCTCGGCCAGGGGTAAAGGGTGGCAGTGCCGGAGAGTTAGCGTCCTGCGAGCGCCCCGGACTTAGGAGGTCGCCAGAGACCCCTTTATCGGAACCCTCCCCAAAGGCTGCTCCCAAGCCTTTGCTTCTCCTCCGAGCCTCTGGCTCTTGCTGGTTCCTGACTCCCCTCCCATCCAGAAGCGAGTAGAAGAACGACCCCCCAAAATCAGTCAATAAAGGAAGTGTGTTTTCCAGAGGGCGCCTGCCTGGGGAAGAGAGCCTCGCGTGTGGCAGTTTGATTTTAGGACCTATTTGTAAATGTGTGTGTTTCCTTTTTTTTTGGAGGAAGAGATTGTGAAATTGAGAATCGTCAGAAGCTTTAGCCTAACAAATGCTTTTCACCTACAAGAAAGTCCTACACCCTAGAATGGAACACTTACTTTCCTGGCTGCTATTCTGTGTAGAAGCAAATTTAAAGTGGTACAAGAAAAAAAAATCCAATCAGACAAAGGAATTCGTCAGATTTTAATGCATGAGATTCTAGCCAGTCTCTGTATGAGACTGTCTTTAAAGGTTGTTGGTATGGAAAATGTTTGAAAGAACGCAGGATTTATTTCAGAAATAAAATTCAACAGAGCATCTTGTAAAGCTGGAGTTAACAATCCTCGCTGGTTGGAGGGCTTTAGAGCTGGGGTTCTCTATGTAGGTTATACCACTAGTTTATTTGAAAAGATAAATGCATACACGTTTTTTCCTTGGAAACAAGACTGCAGAAAATTCCAGTGATCTAGTCCTTGAAAAAGGCAATTGCTCTCAAGCTGTTATTAAGGTACTAAACTGCCCTTTGAAGTGAAAATACGTAAAGGTCCTAGGTGAGCTCTTGGACACTGGAAATAAATGACTTCTCTTAAACTGGCCTTCAAAATTTTGATTTCTTGACGTAAGGTTTGTGTTCCTTTTAAGTCCATGTTATTGTTTTGATAGTTTCCTTCTCTCCAATTCTTTTCTTTTCTTTTTTTTTTTTTTTGGTAGTCACTTATCATTTATGAGTAATGGGATAGAACTAGGTGACCAGGCTATTTCTCTTGTATGCTTGGCTCCTCCATTCCTCGGTTGGCCACCAGGGGAAGCATACTGTTTTGGTTACAGTTGACCCTGTCTTCATTTTGTAGGTCAAGTCTTATCTTTGGTTTAAAACACAGAACATAAAGCTTGTCACCAAATGTTCCTAATGTATTATTTTAAAAATCGACTTCCACAAATCTTTGAGTAAGTTGGTAGGCTTTTTGGTACATTTTTGTTAACATAAATTTTGAAAACTTTAGATGTGTTGGATGTGACTAAGGAAAAGGGCATATTTGTCAGCAACAGGAATTAGATTTCTGACATTCATTGAAATGTTGATGTCAGCTCTGCATTGTTAGTAATGAGTTTGACTTCTTTGGAGTTGTAGTAGTCTTTGAAACAGCAAATGTAATATTTTGAACTGTCCTTGGGCTTTTTGTTGGAATAGGTATGAGCATAAACTTGCTAGCAATCAGCTATTCTAAAATGGAAAACATCTAACAGATTGCAGTAGCTCACACCTGTAATCCCAACACTTGGGGAGGCCAAGGTTGGAGGATCTCTGGAGCCCAGGAGTTGGAGACCAGCCTGGGCAACGTACTCAGACTCCGTCTCCACAAAAAATAAAAAAATCAGCTGGGCTAATTTTTGGTGGCATGTACCTGTAGTTTCAGCTATTTGGGAGGCTGAGGCTGAAGGATCTCTGGGAGGTCAAGGCTGCAGTGAGCAGTGATCTTGCCATTGCACTCCAGCCTAGGTGGCAGAGTGAGACCCTGTCTCAAAAATAAAAAGGAAAACATCTAACTGTTCTGCTGCATAGTCTTGCTGCCAATTGGTTGAGTCTTGATATTAAAATTTCCAAATTTCTTATTTTGTGTTTGTTTTAATCTGGCAAGGAATCTAACTGGTGTAAAGTAATTTCAAACCTTGTTTTGCCAACCTGAGCAGGGGGACACAGTCCTAGATACGGCAGAAAATTGAGATTTTACTATTTTCTAGTGGTTTTTTATGTGTCTTCTCATTTAACTGAAAAGCTTAAGGGGAAGGAAGACTTCCATTTTGGAATAGAAGTGTTACAACCCGTTTATTTATTTGTGTGTGTGTGTGTGTGTGACGGAGTTTCACTCTTGTTGCCCAGGCTGGAGTGCAACGGCATGATCTCGGCTCACTGCACGCAACTTCTGCCTCCCAGGTTCAAGCAGTTCTTCTGCCTCACCCTCCTAAGTGGCTGGGATTACAGGCATGCGCCACCATGCCTGGCTAATTTTTTTGTATTTTAGGTAGAGATGGGGTTTCACTGTGTTCGCCAGGTTGGTCTTGATCTTGTGATCCACCCGCCTCATTCTCCCAAAGTGCTGGAATTACAGACATGAGCCACCACGCCCGGCCCTGATTCAGTTCTTATAAAGTAATTAATACCACGGCCGGGCGCGGTGGCTCAAGCCTGTAATCCCCACACTTTGGGAGGCCTAGACGGGCGGATCACGAGGTCAGGAGATCGAGACCATCCTGGCTAACCCAGTAAAACCCCGTCTCTACTAAAAAATACAAAAAACTAGCCAGGCGAGGTGGCAGGCACCTGTAGTCCTAGCTACTCAGGAGGCTGAGGCAGGAGAATGGCGTGAACCCGGGAGGCGGAGCTTGCAGTGAGCCGAGATCTGGCCACTGCACTCCAGCCTGGGCGACAGAGCGAGACTCCGTCTCAAAAAAAAAAAAAATGAAAAAAAAAAAAATACCTAGACTAGATCGGTGTAGTGTGGCATTGCTTGGTAATTAGAATACCATTTCTGTTTACACTGAAATAAAAAGCTTTACCAACTTTTAAAGAATTAAAAAAAAAAAAGAATTGGCCGGGCGCGGTGGCTCAAGCCTATAATCCCAGCACTTCGGGAGGCCGAGACGGGCTGATCACGAGGTCAGGAGAGCGAGACCATTCTGGCTAACACGGTGAAACCCCGTCTCTACTAAAAAATACAAAAAACTAGCCAGGCAAGGTGGCGGGCGCCTGTAGTCCCAGCTACTTGGGAGGCTGAGGCAGGAGAATGGCGTAAACTCAGGATGCGGAGCTTGCAGTGAGCGGAGATCCGGCCACTGCGCTCCAGTCTGGGCGACAGAGCGAGACTCCGTCTCAAAAAAAAAAAAAGGCCGGGCGCGGTGGCTCAAGCCTGTAATCCCAGCACTTTGGGAGGCCGAGGCGGGCGGATCACAAGGTCAGGAGATCGAGACCACAGTGAAACCCCGTCTCTACTAAAAATACAAAAAATTAGCCGGGCGCGGTGGCGGGCGCCTGTAGTCCCAGCTACTCAGGAGGCTGAGGCAGGAGAATGGCGGGAACCTGGGAGGCGGAGCTTGCAGTGAGCCGAGATCGCGCCACTGCACTCCAGCCTGGGCAACAGCGTGAGACTCCGTCTCAAAAAAAAAAAAAAAAAAAAAAAAAAAAAAAAAGAGTTAAAAACCAAAGTGCAGCCCTACACTTTTAACTTAGGCTTTGTTCTTACATGTGTTATCCAGGCTGCCTTTCCATACTGTCTGCCTTAGATTATGCTGAGTTGTCATGGGTTTCTTTTTTTTTTTTTTTTTTTTTTTTTTTGAGACGGAGTCTCGCTCTGCCGCCCAGGCTGGAGTACAGTGGCTGGATCTCAGCTCACTGCAAGCTCCGCCTCCGGGGTTCACGCCATTCTCCTGCCTCAGCCTCCCGAGTAGCTGGGACTACAGGCGCCCGCCACCTCGCCCGGCTAGTTTTTTGTATTTTTTAGTAGAGACGGGGTTTCACCGTGTTAGCCAGGATGGTCTCGATCTCCTGACCTCGTGATCCGCCCGTCTCGGCCTCCCAAAGTGCTGGGATTACAGGCTTGAGCCACCGCGCCCGGCCCCATGGGTTTCTTTTAATATTCAGTAGTTACAGAATAATAGGGTAAGAGTGAGGATGCTTATCTATCCTATGTCTGGTTAGTTCTTTCCTACATTAGCAAAACATCACTTACTTTGAAATGAATAATGTTTTTCTTTTTCTTTTTTTTTTTTGAGATAGGGTCACACTTTGTCACCAGTATAGTGGTGTGATCACAGCAGTAGTGAACTTGAACCTCCTAAGTACACTGGGGCTGGGGCTACAGATGTCTACCACCATGCCTGACTATTTTTTTGTATTTGTTGTAGAGACAGGGTTTTGCCATGTAGTCCAGGCTGGTCTCGAACTCCTGGGCTCGAGCCATCTGCCTGCCTTGGCCTCCCGAAGTGCTGGGTTTACAGGTGTGAGCCACTGTGTTCAGCCGTTATTATTACTATTTTTTTTTTTTTTTTTTTTTGAGATGGCGTCTCACTCTGTCGCCCAGGCTGGAGCACAGTGGTGCGATCTCAGCTCACTGCAAGCTCCGCCTCCTGGGTTCAAGCCAGTCTCCTGCGTCAGCCTCCCAAGTAGCTGGGACTACGGGCGCCCGCCACCACGCGCGGCTAATTTTTTTGTATTTTTAGTAGAGACAGGGTTTCACCGTATTAGCCAAGATGGTCTTGATCTTCTGACCTCGTGATCCGCCTGCCTCAGCCTCCCAAAGTGCTGGGATTAGAGGCATGAGCCACTGTGCCCGGCCATTACTATTTTTTAATTTTAATTTTTAATATTTTTTTTTT